ATTGCGTATGGGCACAAGATCGATACTGATCGACGCGAGCGCAGCATGTAAATTATTTTCTATTCACAAAAACTAAAGAAATATAGCTGAGCAAAGTGAAACAAGTGATGGACCTCTCTTTCCCACCATTTCTTTTGAACATTTTTCGCAAGTCTTTTAAAAAGAGCGTGGCTGACAGATTTTAACTTCTAAGAAATTGCACAACAAATATTGTTAAATTCAATAAGTTCCAATGATAAAATGTATTAAAATATTTCATGACAACGGCAAAACGAAGAGGAAGATCAATATCGAAGCTAAGGTATATCTGGACTTCTTATCACGACTATCAACAGCACGCCCCGGGGGGGGGGGGACTCCCTAATATCAAAGGGCGGGGGTCCTCGGCGTCCCTTTTAGGGTTTGAAATCGGTATTTTGGTCCCGCTTAGGGTCATAATGACGAGAATTTCCCCCAACTGAGTTTTGTGGTCCCTTTTAGGGTATATGACGTCCCTAAGCCGTCATATTTCCTATGAAAGGTAGGTGCTGCATTNTACTACAATACACCAAGTAATATATATTGTTTGTTGCTCAAAGTGTTTATTGTACTGTTTTGTTCTAGTTGAGTGATATCAACCAAATGGTCACTAAATTGCATCTTTTATGTTGAAAAAATTTTTTTTTTGCAATTGTTAAATACCATAACTTTATTACAATATAATTATTCCAATATAGCTGCTAATGAAACTAAATCTGAAAAGACAATTTGAATTTTTTTGCAAGAAATATCTTGGTTGTTATTGTTACATGCGCTATCAAGGATTGTACATATCTACATCTACTTTAAGAGACTTTTTCTAAGTATGTACTAAAATCCACTAGAAAACATGGGAATAGAATACAAGCCATAATGATCGTATAAACAATACAAAAAAGTTCGAAAAAAGTTTTGAATGGGCTCCCTGTGTGTTTCAGTGTTGACAAGTTGCTAGCTTTGTGTAAATTGATACACTTTCGTTACATGGGATACGTTTCATGTATTTATAGAGAGCAGTATATTCGTATCTACTCCAAACTAGAATCGATTTCTTCATTTAGCATGTTTTGAGTAAGTTTTGTTCTGATAAACTTTGCTTTTGACGAACTTTAAGGTCCAATTATGCCCAATTTTAAGCAACTTTGGCGTCACGTAGCGTCGCGTACAAACATTTGCCCAAAGAAAACTTTACATTGTTTGAAAGATCTGTCTTTGGAGACTCTGTATTCGAAGTTTGAAGGACTTTGAAGGTTAAGCAATTGTGCTATTGATATTTTTGTAAGGTATACTTTTTCTAGACAAAAATATCGTCTTCGAAAATAAAATTATTTCGGTACGAAATAAACACCGTACCGCCCTGAAAAGCAAGCACAGAGTAAAGAAAACATTGCGTTACAATGATCCAAAGTTAGTTTTGTGCTTGCATTACTCAAATTGACATAGCGAGCTCACAAAGTGGGACCAAAATTTGCCTTGAAATCTACAATTTTCGGTGCCCTCAACTAATTTGCATATATCTCCTCCAAAACACGACATTCAGCCAAACTAACTACACAGCGTTTATAGGGACACTCTACCCTATCAATAGTAWRAGTATGARCGAAATCGATTTTTCAAGGTTTGCCACTTATTTTCGAAAATGCTTGATGATTACGGACATCCACTCTTACGTCCGAAATGTCAGTAAGTTATTTCATATTACAGCAGAATTTCACCACCTTCCTTTGCCACCAGAATCTTTCGACCTTCGCTCATGTTTGAAAAATAAAAATACATCGTAATATAAGCAAAAACTTTCTCTTTATTATCCCTTTATACTAGTTGAATGGAGATACTGTAAGATTCGACCTTTAAACCAATGGATGGAAACGGATTGCGAAGTCGCCTCATATTTCCATTTATAAAATTTTTGATATATAACGCGCGCTCTGATTGGCTGACGACCGTGTTTATATCAGAGGACAGAGACACGGCTTACCGCCATCGGCAAAATTTTCTTTTCGCTCGAAAAATTTTATAAAAGAAATATAAAACGGCCGCTTGTGTCTCTGTCCTCTGATATAAACACGGTGTGAGTTGAAAAACACTCGAGAAGCAAGAGAAATACTCGCTACGCTCGTGTTCCTAAGCTTGCTTTCTCTCGTGTTTTTCGAACTCCCACCGTGTTTATATCAGAGGACAGAGACACGCGCGTCGTTTTATATTTTCTTAAATATGAAAAATCTAAAACCACCGTATTGAAAGCCACCTTTTTTCATAGGGTTTGAGGCCTATATCAAAAGCTAGTGAAAATAATGCCCATTGTCCTCAACTCTGGTTACAATAAAACTATGATTTAATGACAAATAATATTGTTTGTAATACTTTAATCCTAATTTCAACAGAATGTTTGTCCTGCAAACATGAATACAATATGTATTTTTTAAGCATTCTTCAATTATTGACAACTTGCATTGAATACAATTTTTTGTTGTTATTAAGTATAAAATCTTTTAAATCCATAATGAACTGAATCTATTTCTTTCGCTTCTACTTAGTACTCTACCAGTCTTCTGGGTTCTCTGTGGTAAACATTACAGTGTAAGACTAAGTACTAAAACGTTTAATACAGGAAATCCAAAAGTGTAGGCATTTGTCATTATGATAATTCATGTACCAAGACCTGATACTTGTGTTGGGGGTTCAGTATTAGCATCAATTCTAACTAAGTTGGGAGAGAATGTTGACTGCCGTGTTGTAATTTTTATCTGTGCTTTGTCGATCTCTGTTGGCCAAAGTGTCCTGCGAAGACTCAATAAAGAATACCTGAAATAGAATAGGACTATTCAATAAAAACTTCAAACAAAATACAAAAAAAAAGGAAAGAAAGAAAAATTTGGCCTGAAGTTATGATAATGAGTGGCAGTCATCCTTGGCCTTCCTCAGTAAAATGATACTAGTTAGAAGTGCTTGCGTCTGCTATCAAAAAGCACAGCGGGATCCCCTAATAATTACCTTGGTAACAACGCTGTAATGGCAATCAGTGAGCAAAGAGACCAGAATTCTTTGCTTCCGAGTGTTGCTATGGAGACATAGTAGATCTTATGGGTGACCAGCACCAAGCCATAGCAGATAGTCCATGCAAACGACAATGCTACACTTCCCCACAGCATCACGTGATGAATCCATGTCTACATTTAGAAAAATTGAATCACATTAGAGTGACAATAGTCAAAGATGGCAGCTCGGAGGAAACAATGACTTTAATACGCGCTCGGAATACACATTTTTATCAATACGGCCGCCACAACGAAACATGGCATGCCCAGGTGGAAACTCCGGGGTAAAAGTACCGGGGATGCGCGTCAGAAATTTTCAACGAAACCCCAAAAGATCCCGGAAGTCTTGCAAAAAGAGCGTGGCTGACTGATTTTTAACTTGCACAACGAATATTGTTATATAAAATCAGTTTCACTGATGAAAACGCAGAGGAATATCAATATAGATGCGTTCTTTCTCTCCTTTTTCCGACACCCTAATAGATTGCAAAAAATGTAAATATCCAGAAACTCCAAATTGGCACCCTAAAAGATTCCCAATCACGAATTTTTACCCCTGAGAGGTCCGACAAACATCCCTGGTACTTTTACCACGGACTCTCCCGGGGGAAAAACAAGGACTTAACAGAATGTAGGGCTTTTAGAATGCTACGAGATTAAATTATCATATCTTAAAACTTGAAAAACAACGCGAAAAGTTTAACCAACGGAGCATTCAATAACTTTTCAGGTGATAAAATGTTTGGTCATTTGACAATGTTTGATGGATCTTATAACGATGGCGTTCCTTGATCTATTTCTTTCGCTTGTACAGAAACTTTGAGAGTTTAAAATTTTTAAATGACAGAAAGCCGTACCCACTGAGCAAAGACAAGACCCATGTGTAAACTTGCCACGATGACTGCTGCCTGATGTATCGTGATACCAACCAACCGATCATCAGCGATACTTCCCTCAAATACCTATTGAGATGTTAAACAATATTATTACTGCATATGTATTATTATGTCGTATTGTAAAACACCAATTCACGGGTATTAACGAGGTATATAGTTTTCTGGGTGATGACAGGGCTAAAAGTCTGATCCTTGATCTCCAAAATGACTACAAATTTGATCACTGACCCTTGTCAATCCCTGAATAATTTTGTGATCCCGAATTGCCCTATTTCATTATGACGTCACATCAAAACATTCTATTGTTTTAACGCTAAGGATTATGGTCGCCAGAAGGGATCAGAGTGACTGCATATCAAATAAAATGTACATAAACAACCATATATAAATATATAAATGGGTCAAAATTTCCACTGTTTTTGAGCCTCGTTTTCCGATGTAAACATACTGTGACGTCATAATGAAATAGGGCAATTACTAAGACACTAAGACGTTGATTTGGCTCCCTAAGCCACTACTCTCCAATCCCATAAAATTGACAAAAATATGATCCCTGTGCCCAAAAGTTGCACTTATCTATATGATAGCATATTATGTACTCGTTTCAATGGCGGATCCAGAATGTTACAGGGGGTGGATGATTCAAGAGGAAATATTCAATGTATAGATTTAAAGATGCATTAAATCAAATTTCAGATGAAAGCGACTTTTAATTAGATGTTTTTCAGAATAAGTCCTATTTCAGATTTAATATACTTATTTTTTCATATATATATATATATATATGATCATAATTTGTAATTCCATATTTTGAATTCTGAAAAGGGGGATGCCTTGCCACTCTAATCACATCACGGATCCGCCCTTGCGTTACTACCCTGCTATACAATCTGAGGGAATACTTACAATTGAACAAAAGAAGAACAGGACTACACTTTGATACAAAGCATCCAGTATGGTGAGCCAAAAAGATTTACGAGTATAAAGCTATAAAAACAGAAGACATTGTAAATACGTATCTCAAGTAATCCTAGCAATAAGGAAACATCTTTTTTTTGCTTGAACGGTAGCTGTGCTTTTCCATCGAAGTAAGATAGCATTTGAGCTTGATAATAATAGCTCCAAGCGCTTCGACGCAAAGTCATGGCTACCTTTCAAGCTGGCGATCGGAACTTTGTAAAAGAAACGGAAGAAGATTGGCGCATGCATGCAACATTATTCCCAGTTTTTTTCGGTATCTGTTTTTACTCAAAAGTTTTTTCACACTTTTCAATATTTTGCGTTTTTGAATAATAAAACTTTTGAAAAACGCGGAATCATGTTTCTTGGCTGGCAATATCTTTAAAAGTGAAAAGACTATCTTATTTCTTCATTCGCGAATTTCAAGGGCCAGATACCTTGTCATTTTGGCCTGTTTTATACAAAGGCGGGTTGTTCTTCAAAACGGACGCTGGTAAATCCTTGTCCAGGATTCCACATATTACAGGAGGGACAGCCGTGAAGATAAGGTTAAAAAATATCAAAGATAAGTCGTCGATGAGATTCGAGCCTGAAAAACCATTGTATAATTGGAACCAGAAGAGAACGAACACGAACATCTGAAAGAAAAGGCAGGAGAGGGCTGGTTAATAGCACGTTAACAATAGGCCATTTCTACAACATAGCATGATGGGAGAGAGGGCTGGTTAATAGCACGTTAACAATAGGCCATTTCTACAACATAGCATGATGGGAGAAGCCGGTAGTCATCATCATCATCATGTTTTCCCTAAATATCACAGCCGTAGGGCGCTCTTCCTTTCTTCAAGGAATTGCAAGAAATCGTTCTTCTTCATCATCATTCTTCTTGCCTGCTGTTTGTCGATGTCCAGAGCACGCCTTCGACCTTATTTCACAGTCTAACCCGTGAGTTAGCAAACAGCATTTGTTTTTGGTATGAATCATACTTGCACTTTTTTATCTCCGCAAACAGTAACCCAAAGGAGTTTTTGATTTTTCTTTGAACCAATTGAAACTTTTTGTAAAGGAATTTCGGTATTTAGGATGAGTATCAGAACTTCGAGGGGGCCTGGGGAGAAGGTAAGTGGAAAAACGAAGGCCTCTCCCCTTTTCTCTCCTCTCCGTTTTTTCTTCCGGAGATCCTAATACTCAGGTTAGCTTTAGGGACACAAAAAGTGCGAGGACATTTCCATTATGCTCTGTACATGGCGTCGCGGCATATTTCTTGTTGCTCATTTAAATAAAAACGTTTCTTACTCACGAAACATCCTGAAAAACGACCGAACAAAACTGCAGTGGATTAAGGTTTGTGCTTATGTCAATCCCATGGTACATCACGCCTAAAACAGTTCACTTACCGCGTTTTTATAGAAAAAATACAAAAACATCTTAGTGATTCTGTCGTAGCACCAATGTCCATGGACTAGCAATAGCTGCGTCAAGAAGCGAAACCTTCCTATAGCAAAATCACTGGCCATTACAGCCTGCATGCCTTCTTGTCCTGTGATTCCAATCCCAACATCGGCCATTTGGATCATACTAACATCATTTGCTCCATCTCCTATAGCTAGAGTCATAACCTTGAGTCCATCGCGTACCAATTGAACCACAGACGCCTGGAAAATGCAGATATTATTTCTTACTATAGAGTAGTTAGTCATAAAAACATTTTATTAGTGACCATCTTTCGATGTCCTAGATCCATTTAAGGGCAAAGCTCCTTCTTTTGTACTGGCCTTAAAGCCAAGGTACTTTTTTTGTAGTTAGATAATTACATACACCCTTATCAACTTGACTCAGTTCGTAACGTTTTGAATTGAGCCAAATTTTCAAGTATTGAATATTTTACTCCAGCCAATATAAAACGCTTATATCTCAGCTTGAAATGTTGGTAGACAGTCAATGATGTATTTTTCCAAAACAATTTAAACAATAGCCATAATTATGATGGAAGATGGAAGAGTTTCGAAGGTTTCGTGACAACCGCAAATTCCATCTTCAAACCACGTGTCGAAAACTGCGTTTTGATAGCTCCATTTGTACAGAACCTACATTGTTGGGCTAGGTTTGAAGAGCATTCGAGACGACCTTGAATTCACCCCTTACCTTCTGAATGGGTGTTGCCCTACAACACAATACAACTTGGCAGTGAGAAGCAAGGGTCAGGAATTTCAGATTGAGTGGTTTTTCTAGTGCGTAAACCAACGTACGACCATCAATAACCAAGCCCTTAGGGAGCTCGCCATTACTGCATGTCGATTCATCAGTGGATGTCGAAGGGCCAATATGAATACTGTCCGAGCTGCCTAGATGTAGGCGTCTTAAATGTGCTGTTATCTGAACACTGCAATCCTCCTACAAAGAGAAAAATAAAATTTTAAATGCATTGGTAACAATATTCTTACTGGTAAGAATCAATCAAATTGGCAGTATAGAGTTAATTGCTATAATGGTATTACCCTCAAATAAAAAGGCCTTTAAAACAAAAAAAATTCCGAATATCTAATGTATTTTATTTCTTCTTGGTTTCAAATTGATTGATTTTTTTTACTTCTTGTACACGATAACCAACGCCGCCATCTTGAATGATTTCATTATTTTGTTTCTTGTTTCAGATTTGCTTTTGTACAAAAATGTATCAAACAAGATGACAGTCGTAGTTGTATAAATATCTACCAGTGTATGTTTGTAATACTTGTCAAGCACATTATCTTACCCTAGATTTGGCATTCAAGAATATTTTCTCCATGTTTCTATCAAGAAGCTTACAAGCATAACTAACACTGACGGCAGTTTCCTACAACAAACAAAATGCATTTCTTAAAAGAAGGAAAAAAAGAAAGATAGAGTTATGAAGTATTGGAAATTAGAAGGAATTATTACTGGAAATAATTCTTCCTGTGGAGTCTGTGGACTTTTAGGAATTCTCCTTCTTTATCTGAGTTCTGTATGTCGAAGGAGAAGAGCCTAATGGCATCGGTATGCTACTAAGGTAATCTCCCCGCCAATATCCGGTTCCAGTATCAAATGTATAATACTTATATTTCACAGCTTTAAAGTAGGCGATACTTTGCAGCAAAGCGAGACGGGTGTTGAGCTTGCAGTGTAGATATCTTTCTCAACACCTACAGTCCTTGACATTTTACGTGGGACATTACGATGTGTTACCGTAACAAAGTTACACGACCCCCCGACCCCCTGTACAATGTTGTGTGTCTATTTTTATTTGTTTTTTAATGCTTCAGTACCATGACATCGTGTACAACAACAACATTGACCTGGGTGAGAGGGGAGGGGAGGGGGAGGGAGTGTAGGGCCATGTCGTCCGTAGAAAACTAACAAGATGTGTTAAGTAGAGTAACTGTTTGTCGTGTTCAAATGTCTATTGTCCATGATTGTAGGTATCTCGCATAGCAAGCTTAACTAATGCCTCGGTTTGATGCATAGGCTCGGCTACTTTTCAAAATGGCGGTGGAAACTGTAAAACCGAGCATTTCCCCAAACCAATTAATCAAAGACAAATGAATGAAAACATATAACAACTGCTTCCACACTAGTATATATAACCCTGTCAAACTAGTTATACCTGTTTATCTCCCGTAAGAACCCAGACTTTGATTCCAGCCTGTCTAAGCTGAGCTATAGTCTGAGGAACGCCATCCTGTAAACGATCTTCAATTCCTGTAGCTCCCAGAAGTTCCATGTTTGTTTCTAGTCGTTGAGCTGACTCGTAAAGTTTTCTTTCTCTGTGGTCAAGCGCTGTTTCAGCTTTTCTGTGTTCAGTCAGCCATTCCCTGTACTGGTCTTCAGTCAGTTCCTATAAAAAGATATATGTACGTTAGAACCTGGGACCTGTGGTCTCAGTATTATGTGATTTGAGTTTGTAGGCTGGTCGGCTCTTTGTTGCTCCGATTTTCCCTTTTAGGTAAACTGGTTTAAATTTCCTCCCTCACCCAAAAACTAGCTGCGAGAAGAGTCATTTGTCGATGTGAGTTTGCAAGCTTCCGCGCCATGACACGGAATCCGCAGCGTTCCTTGACTCCGGATTACAAACTCCTGAATTCTGCATTCCATGAAAAGCTTCGCAAGCTTTCTATGATTATTCCTGATGATACGCACATTTGAATCTTTTTGGAAGCATTTCCAGCATAGCAACTCTGCAGACTGCGCGGAGTGACTATCCAATACTCCGCAACAGAAACACGTCATATGAACGAAGACTACGGCTACAAGTCGAAATAAATATTAAATCGGTCTTCCTGTGAGGACTATGACTTGTAGCCGGCTACACGGCTACAATTAGAGGGTTTGAGTGGCGGGTTATTAGATAGTTGTACGAGGCTTACCTTCCTAGCCATACACAACGTCCTTAGGCCATCTCTTGCATAAACATCTAAATGAATTTCTGTACTCTCTGTAATAGAATGTCGACGCGATTTACTACCATTTCCAGCCCCGCTAGAATCAGTCTGGTCTTCTGCTTTTCGATGGTCACGTGATAGCCTCTCCATGACAACCGTATCAGCCCCTTTACAATACATAAGAATCTCTCCATCAGGTGGCCGACGAACGACAACCGACATACGTTTCCGTGTCGAATCGAAAGCAAGCACGTGTAGAACCTCAAATGTGACTAGTCCTTCGCCAGGTATTAATATAGTAACAGTGTTAGGGCTACGAGAAATGAGCTTAAAACCGTAAGAACTAGCCATTCGAACTAGCGCAGCCTCGTCTGGCGATTCAGCTTCATATATTATATCATTGTGATTTGTACATTGATCAAAGTTTAACCGAGTTGGTACGACAAAGCCGTTCTGTTTTTGAGGGCTAGTTTTGGCCGGTGAAGGAGCGAGTCCTTGATTTACTTCACCAGTCCCGTTGTCAACGTGTAGACTAGCAGTTGGTTGGGTAGATTCTTCCATAACCGGAGGAGGATGAGACGTCATGTTAGTAGCAGAATCTTCACTATTTTCAAGGGTGACTTTCTTGGAAGGCGATGATGGTTGTTGTCCCGATACCACGACCGTATTACATATCGATAATAGGATAAAAAATTCGCGTAGAAATGACGAGAGTTTCCCTTGATACACCTCGGAATTAGAATCGGTTGAAATCGCAAAGGCCAAGTTGGTGTCCCATGGGATATTTTTTGTTGTGTTACTCTGTAGTAAAGAATAAGAATAAATAATATATAAATAAACAAAACCTAACTACTTTTTTAACAAAATGGACTATTTCGACGATGTGGTGCCGATCATTTATGGTTGAAGGCAAATACCACAAAAAAAAAAAGTTGCTTGTTTTGCCATGCCGACCTATCTGAACTTGTCTAAATGACCATACTACGACCTGAGGACACGGAAGAAATCAAGCATCTCATTTCACAGAACCATTTCATTTTGACGTCACATTATGTTTACATCAGGGAACGAAGCTCAAATTTATACAGTGGAAATTTGGGCCCATTTACATTCCCTCCGCAAGAGGAATTCCAACGTATCGTGTTTTGATATATGTCATGAACTCATGTACCAAATATTGCTCATCTACATTTTATTTGATATGCAGTTACTCTGATCCCCTTTGCCGACCATAATGCTTAGCGTCAAAACAATGAAATATTCTGATGTGACGTTATTATAAAATAGGGGAATTTTACCTGGCTAGGAACTTGTTCATTATAAAGTTCATCTTGTGAATCTTTACTTAGTTGAGGACTATTTGCATCAATTTGATCTGAAGAATCTGCTGAATTAAAATATTAAAAAACAAATATATAAAATATATATCTAATGTAAAGCCAATTCAAAAAATGTTGTCGGACAATTGGCGAATAGCAATTATCGAACGGAGATTAAACGACAGAAATGAGCGATGGATTTTGCTAATGACGAGAAATAATAATTATTTATACTGTAAGGAAGACTGTGGTAAACAATGGCTCCAGCACTTCGTATGTCAAACCGCATAACAACATTCCCATTTGGTCGTGAAATCTCCGTTCGACAATCTATTTGAAGTGAGGTGAATATACAATTTCAATTTTGATTGGTTTATGATTAGCAACTATTGACAGCAAAGCCAGTTGATTGCAACTTACAGGTATTTGAAGTATGCTAGGTTTAAACCTTGATTCAGTGGTTTACAAAAAAAMCCAGCTAAGTCAACGAATGTTGCTTGCTTACATTTGGGAATCGCTAAATGAAAATTTTCTGAGTATTGCCATTTTTAAATAATTCTTTCTCTTTACCATTCAATACTAAAATTTATTCCCAAGGTATAGTGTTCTCGGCACTTGACGTCAAATCTATTTTTAGTAATTTTTACAATACAAAAGGAATTCTAAAGAATAAAATTGACGTCAGCTAAGTGAGTGCGGAGAACACAATACCTCGGGACTTATTAAAAACATAATACTTTATAGCACCAACATCATTTTATGTCACTACAAAACTCACTTGGTCTTTTGTCTTTGTGAGGGAAATTAGTACCGCCGATTGTACACTTTCTAAATTCCATCTTGTTTTCTGTCAGTGTTCCAGTTTTATCGGAGAAGACGTATTTGATTTGGCCAAGGTCTTCGTTGATATTGAGAGCTCTACAAATGACAGGCTGATCCGTGTCTTTTCGATAAAGTTCCAAGTCTTGAGATATGAAGTAGATTTGCCCAAGCTTGGCTATCTCGGCAGATACATACAGTGAAATAGGAATGAGGACCTAAAATTGCAGACAAGAGAAAGAGCTTCCAGTGACTTGACTTACATAAGAGCAACGCAAAATGTAAACGAAAATTTATAATTTTTTTTCTCTGCCTTGTTGCAATTTAATAAGTCATTGCATTTTGAACAAGTGAACTGGGGTATTTGTACTTTGCGCTTCTCTTGTAGCCTGCGCATTTTAATAGCAAAATAGTTGATTTCAATGTTATTAGCGAAATTCGACATCAAGCAGTTCATAAAAGTCTTTCAAAATTCTTCTCCTCTCAGATTTTTACTCAATAGCACAATCTCCTCAATATATCTCTATTTCCCAAAACAATCTCAGTGATGTTGAGCTAACTCTACCTTTTCGTTGTAAAAATAATGTCAAGGATCAGTGATTTTCACCGATTCCTTTTGGACTGTTCTGGTTTGAATCTGAAGTTTTGCAAGTCCCCGAAAACATTGAGACTCTTTTAGATGTCTTCAGTGCTTGTAAGTTCTGAGTTTTTTGGGTTTTTCGACAGTTTTGATGGCCATTGAGCTTTCTAGATTTAACAGCAAATTCTTTTTTGTTACTTTTAAACTGATCCGTTTATGCACTAGTCAGTTGAAACCCCCGCCCCCAACCCCCGGACTAGCGGGGCACTGAACGGAACGTGACGCGTTTTTAACGTGCTTTTAACAGCAAGATTGCCCCGGGGGTCGGGATTTTGATGAATTGTTTTCGAGGTGTGGCAAAAAACGGGGATTTTAACGCGCGTTTGAACATGTATGAGGCTGGAAACTACCTTGCATGAAAAAAATTTAAAAGAAAGTTATTACACATGTTTTTCTCCGTCCAGTTAGCCTCATGTAGTACGCAAATGAGTACACAGGACTGTGCAAAAGTTAACCCTGTGTACCACAGAAAATTTGATTGAAAGGTCTTTGTTTCGTTATTTACTACTACCAAAATAGCGGGGCAACAGTAGCGGGGATTTTAACAGTGATTGTGCCGCAGACTACCGGGGGAAATATCTTATCTTAACACCACTCAAACGTTAAATTCCCCGGTATTCCCCGGGAGTCGGGGGGTGGGAGGTTCAATTGACTAGGTGCATCAGTGGCAACCGTTACCTGGAATATGATGATAAATGTCCAAAACCTGAGGAATCCTTCCATAGCAGGGCTGCTTTCCCCTCCTGGTGTGAAATGCGAGTTAAAAAATGCATTTTCTTGTGTCCACAAGCCACAGCCTAAAAAGAAACATCAAAAACATTTGGTTATAGAGGATAGAATTAGCTGAAACATTCCTTTGGAGTCACAAAACCTTGTGTGTCACATTCGAGACACATTTTAGGAGCTCCGTTGTTTTAAAACGCCGCACTGAAATACGTTCTTTACTAACGTAAAAGAAGAAAGGGTTCGTGGAAGCAAACAAAAAACAAAAGAAAAATGAAGTAAGGCAGTAAGAGGTACAACAGCACTTACCAACACCACAAAGAAAACATATGGTGAATAATATAACTACACATGCAATTATATCCAGATTGATGTGTCTCTCTACTTTGCTGTGCTTGTAACGAGGCCCACTGTTGTTTAACATGGCTTTAGTATCATGTCCTAAGACAAAAGGAAACTAAATTGTTTTGTATCATGAACTCTGCTCTGACTACAATGTAAATGTACAAATTTGAATCTTGAAACTACTATGATCATTTTTAAAGTGTTGGCAACTATTGACAGATCTTGGGCTCAAACTGAATAAGATATAGGTCTGCTTCTGTGAGTACAGAAACAATAACTGGGCACAGATTATGTAATTAAAATAGAAATAAAACTACAAAACAATGGAAAAACTAAGCAATATCCCACAATACAAAGAACTGTAGCAATAATACTAGAGATTCCAGTAATAACAAAAATATAATAGTCTTGACTTTTAAGCTGTTTCTTTCGCTATCCAAACCTTCAGGACTGTCATTTAGCAGGAGGAGCCGACGGGGTCTGTTCTTCTAAATAACTGTTCTTGTACGAWTTTTTTCCTGGGAAAGGGATTTTGAGCTACATTGCTCACAAGCAAACATGGCCCCCTTCCTTCTTAACATAATTTTATTCCTGGAAAACGTTTTTAAGGTCAAAAAGGCTTATATAACGTTTTTATTTTCATTTTCCTGGCAAAAATTCTTAGAAAGTATTCCTTCTCTGGAGAGTTCTTTTTTTTCTGAATTTCTCGCTGGCAACCAGTTGTGACTTACAGTGACTTACAGGGACATAAGAAAAGATATATTTCTCCCAGGAACCTGTCCGCTCCTCCTGATTTAGGTAATTAGCTCACCTGCATAGATAACAATACCCTCTACCCACTTAGTGTTGCGAATAATACACCCTCGCAGGAGAAGGTTATGATTGTTGATTGACAGCACATTACCATCGGCACATTCCCTGAAACACATTATAATAAATCATCTCATGAAAGAATATAATAAGGATGTGCAAATGTCTTTTTCAAGCTATCAAATACTTTTTGACAAGCAAAACACTTGAGAAGTTTGTGAGGTGCATAAAATTGAGTACTTCTAAATCATCTTAAGTTTTCAGAACTTGATAAAAGTAGAGCAAGCAAGTTTTTAAAAATACCTCTTGCAAAAATATGCAAATTAAAGTGCACACAATGCATAGTTATGCAGCTCCGCTACTTTTAACTACTTACACTTTTCCATGGAAACGGTAAATATGGTTGTTAGGTTCCTCACATTTGATGTGTGAGTCAAAATCTCTTGGTGCGAATCGATGACTTTTCTAAAAAATTGAGGAATGTTTAAAAGTTGTCTTTCTTTCCAATTTAAGGAAATGGAATCCTGCCGATGCATTTTGCCACTGACACGAATCTCAATTCTATAAAGCAATTGTACAGTCAAAGCAATCCCATTTTTGTTGTAACTAACTCTAATATTGCCTTCTTCCAGAAAAAAAGGTAACTTTTACTTCAATAGGATGTAGGATAATACTATTGATACAAGAATATATTGAAATCAGATTTCACAGATTTTCTCCAGAAAGAAACAGCCTGAATCTGCCCTACATGTAAACCAGTATTTTGATACAGTTAATATATTGCACCATTATTTCGACAATATTGAGATATATACCTCATAAAGTCCTTTGACAGTCTCTCTTTGTTTTAAGTTGGTTTCTCCATCTAAATTAGCTGTTTCTATGAAGCATATGTCATGAGGATCACTAGAGTTCAGAAGTAAAACATCGGCAGGTATGATGTCATCACTAGACAATCTAATGATATCGCCAACGACAACATCTTTCCACTTTGTACTATGGTATTCATTGCTTAAACTGAAAGAAAAGAGAGAATTGATCATGATTATAGATATGAATAATGGAATCTGACATTCTCTGTAATGTAATGCATTATATTTTCACTTAATTATTTTAAGCAAGGTAGCGAGGGTATGTTATAATATGCATCTTGATAGATGCTCAATGAAATATTCTGAAATTTTGCAGGAGGAAAAATAAGGATGACACACAAAACACTGTATTATGCCTATTGTCTTGGGCCTTTCTTCGTTTACCGGAATCTATTGTATTCAGATTAGGTTTCATTGTATTTTGGGGTATTGTTTAGATTCTGCTTCATTGTTGTAACCCTTTGTTTCTATAAATTAAAGGCTGATTTACACGGCACGATTGTCTTGTGCAATTTGTAGTATACAACTTGAATCACGCAGTGTAAATGCCCTTACGACTTGTCTACAACAGTCGTACACAACCTATGACTTGTAGTAGGATTTTGAACCACTGCTTCAAAAACTCATTAATTATTCATGAGGTATTCAGCAAATCCCTGTTTGTAATTTGTACCATGTGAAGTAACTTGAAACCAGAGGAAGTACTCGTACCTTGTATTCTACCTTATTTCCAGTTACTTCTACCTTTTTCAAGTTACTTCTACATTATTTCCAGCTATTTCTACCTTATTTCCAGTTACTTCTACCATGTTTCCAACTACTACTAGCTAATGATAATCAAATTATTAGAAACAATCAGTTTAACATTAATTTAGTGAAAAAAGGTCTTTGATACATGACTCCCTCACAACTCGATCCCCTACCGTCCAGTCTATATGCGCTGTCTTATACCATATACACCACCGAGTTTCTGATGCGATCCTCAGAAGATAACATAATTATAAATCTTATGAATTAGGCTCATTAGGAATGCCATGAATAGCAGACAAAGACAATTTGAATAGCTTTTGTTTCAGAAAGCCATCCGGGAATTGAAGAACAACAAACGGTGCTTCATGTATTCAAAATTATGAAAACTGAAAACCTTAGTGGAGATGCAATAAATCAATGTATTTCTGTTGTATTTCCTTCGCTTTTTTTTCCTCCCGAATAATTAATGAGTTTTTGAAGTCGTTCAAAGGCCTCCAATTCGGACTTGACGGGATTTCAAAGTCCTTGCAATTAGTTCCAGTCCTCGGCTAGCGCCTCGGACTGGAACTAATTGCGCGGACTTTGAAACCCCGTCAAGTCCTCATTGTCGGCCTTTAAACATTACTTAAAATCCTACGACTTGTAGTAGGAAAATAGTATACTACAAGTCGTGCGCAACAAATCGTACCATGTAAATCAGCCTTTACACGAAGTAAAAGCCATTGTCTTTCATTAAATTTTACTACAAATGAGCACCTTGAAGAGCGTGGGCTACCTACATGTATATACTGGCATAAAACAAATGAAATGGTGGGCGATGGTTGGAGAGCACTTCTAGGAACACATTATGCTCCCTCTCTCCTCCCATGCTTATTATCAGAGACAATCAGTTTACATTGTGTACGGCAAACCATGCTTGCATTTCTCTTATATAAACATTGTGTTGTGTTTGTTTATTGTCAATGGATAGTTTTTTTGTGTTTTATTTGTATATTGTGTGTCTTTTCTTCTTCTTCCCTTATTTATTATCCCTATGTCATTAACTTATCAATTGTAATTATTTGAAAAAAAAATCTAAAATTGTACTGCTCTTATATAGGTGATACATATCAATCAATATTGTAAATGGATTGAAAAAATGGTTACCCTTATATGGGTTTGTACAGCACAATTGTAAATAAATAAAAAATGATGAAAAAAAATAAAAAATAAGAATAAACAAGATCATCAGCCAATGAGGGTGGATACTATACATCATAGATTTGAAAATATATATAATATAAAATAATGCAGCGTTGTGACATCTCAAAATAAGTGTAATAAGCCACAGCCAACATACTAACATTCCAGTATAAAAACAAACAAAAAAAAAGACTCACAGCAATACGGCAGTTTAATGTAGACTTAAGCTTATATAAGCATTGCTGGTTTCTTATCCACTTCACTTTTTATTGAAAAATGAAATATTCATCATAATTTACAGGAAATGGACATAATCTGTTAAAAAATTAATGAAAACCACTAGATTGGAAAGACTGCGGATGTCTGAAAGATTAGTCTACTTAACCCGAAAATCATAATCAGAAAGAGAAATCTCAAGCTCATTTCAGTCACTGAAAGTGAAGGGATGAAACGACATCGTCGCATGAGTGGTTTCTGAATTTTTTAAATAATACTCAAAACTAACCTGTCGTACACATGGCAAATAGTGTTATTTACTCTTTTGTCCGAGTTGTATCGCCTTCGATCTTCAAACAAGTCTTTCACTGCGGTTACTGACAAGACAAATAGCAAAGGCAACATGGCTATTTCTCGTCCAAACGCGTTTATAGCCGGCATCCAGTTCAAGCATACGATAAACAAGAAATAAATATTTGCAAAACGGTGAAATTGTTCAAATAAATTTTTAGGAATAAAAGACCATATTGTGTACTTCGTTGTCTTGATGGAGTTCCCAAGATTATTCTTGCAATGAGGAAATTTCAAGATCTCTTCGGTTTGATGTTGTTTCGGGACAACAAGTCTGTATCGAGAGGGTTGGTCGCTTTCCTCGGCCATTGCAGTTGAATTTCCTCAATTACTAATAAGTCTCAATCCTTTTGCCATAAACCTCACCCTAAGTCCTTAACTATAACTCGAAGCGCCATGGATAAATAATGCTCACTAGGTAGTATAACATCATGCAATACTAAGTAGCATCAATCTACTAGTGACACGAATCAAATAACTCGATATTTTCCTTGTTTGAGCCCGCGTATGTAAACTTTGATAAAAGCAGTTATCCTTTTAGAGGCATTTGATTGGTCAGAGTAAATTTCTATCCCACAATGCCATTTAAACAGACACGAATATCGGTGTCGGCCATTTTGTMTGACGTACAAGAAATTAAACTGAAAAACTAACAGAAAAGTGCTTCATTATGGGACACAAAGAGTTTGGAAATCTCATAAAGTCGAAGAATATAATCAGCTACAGCTTGTCACCGTTTGAGCAGCGAGCATTTGCTGGTGTAACCCAAGGTATTAGCAACTGGGGAAGAAGAATGCGAACGAACTTGATGTACATGGCTCCTGGTTTGATCAGCCTTGTACTTATCTATAAATACGCAAAGGGTTCCAACCAGGAAATGAAGAGAAAAAACCCCAAGGATTTTGAGAATGATGAATAAACTTGTCACAAATGCTGGACTTTGGACAAAAATGCTGGATTTTTCTGATGTTTTTCAAGCTTTTGTGGATCATTGTTGCATAACACTCGTGGATGACTGTTTGGRAGCTCTGATGATTACACACTGCTGACTACTATTTAATTTCCATTGATTGTGTTGCTAGATGGTCTCCAGCATTTTCACATATTTTTACACCGTCCTGGTTTATGTACAAGATTAAGATACTGAAATTCATGTGTAGAAAATTTAAAAATTTACAACTGAAAAATACAGATTTATTGTGATAAAGTTGGTTGGTTCATCCATTTCTATATTATGAGCTCTGTTTGAGCACCATAGTTTAGACTGTATAAATAAATCCTTTTGTCAAAATGGCTGCCACTTATGAAGATCCTTTTTTCCTTTCTACCAAAAAGATCTGCAAGAAATCAATAGGTTCCACTGAAAATCCATAACGATAACAGAAATGCATGGTTGTGGTATGTCTTATACCTCATTTCATTGTAAATATTCCTATTCTCGGTTTGCACATGACGTCATCAGTCGAAGAATATTCTAAAATCACAGACACACAACATTACAGTACTAAAATACCTTGAAGAGCATGATGGAAGTTCTCTCTGAAAGTTTCAAGTTTTTTTGCTGTTTATTCGTTGAGTTATTCACGTTCAAAAATATGTCACGCAATACTGTCACGCGACTTGAAACACGTCAAATTAAGCTCGGAAAGACTATTAATCTTAAAACAAGTATAGACTCAGCATTAAATTGAATTTTTAGAATGATATTGTTGGAAAACTGAAGCAAAAACATTAGTTTTGAGCTCATTTCGACACTCGGAGTTACTGTCTGCATGGTTGGTGTACTGGACTTGTACACCATTAGGGCTTTCCCATACATTCCCTTGTAAAGTAAGACCGTATTCAAACGCTTATATTTTTGCTACAAAATGGCAGTTTGACTTCAAATTTTGCATAACTGTTGGTAATTATATGCTGTTTTTGGTCTTGAACATAAAAAAATCATTTCGATCTTAAAACAAAGTCTTTTGTAGGTATTTCTTGACCTGTCTAAAACGCATTGAGCCGTGATAATCCCATACATTCTTACCAATTTTCGATCGCTCGTATTTCTGTTAAAAAGCATTATTTTGGCTCAAAATTTCGWAATKATACTTTAAACTAGATGTTCTATCGAGGACAATAATAACATTTTGCTAATTTGGCCTCTAAATAGCACTTTTAGAATGTCACGTGATTAGTGCAAACCAAGAATTAAAAAAATTCTCTGCAGGTTTTTTTCAGAACTTACTAGGATTTTATACAGCTTCTTAGTGAAGCTTTTCAAAATTTCTCTTGGCTTTTGCAGAAACATGAAAATTGTGTCATTATCCATCAGACCCTCTGCTACCCAAAGTAGCATTCAGGCAATGTACTCTTCCATGGTAAATAAGGCATGGCATCTGTACCGGGGTGGGGTGGGGGGACAAAACTACTACCCTAACCAAGACAAATGGGCAAAGAATGATACCCTATCCCAGACTTGGAGCTTCGAAAAAGGGACTCTTTCCTGCGGCACATACCCATATAACAAATATAGGGGAGTACCCCCCCCCCCCCCCCAACATATGTACCCCTCCCCTCCAGCTACTGAACGGTTCTAGCTAAAAATTAGCAGGTGGACTGGAACTTTGAAATGGGCAGTGATACAACTTATAGATCTTCAGAAATACACAATACATCAGTTGCAGCAATGGGTTTTAAGGAACACCAAAATACTAGCAACACAATAATTATCAGAAGTTTGGTAGGAGGGTTGAGGATCCAGGGGGAGGCCGGTCCATTTCAGTCTACTACTTTAAAGAGTGGGGGGCAATAACCAAGCTAATCAAAGAAGAAGAGGTAAGTAGCATTAACATTTTTGCATTTCCCCCCTCATTTCTCAATCTCTCCTCCCTGATAATTATGAAGTTACTATAGAGTTTGGTGGCTAAAACAATCATTTTAGTAGTTTGAATACAAGGGCCCTGTGTATAATGTACACAGATAATGCACATACATGTATGCAGTTTATAACTAGTTCTCTGGAAGTTTGCATATAAAATATAATTTATTATTTATTATTTTTACAGTTGAATAAAATTTATAAAAAGATTGTGAAACAATGAATGACTTACATAATTTTGCATTTTAGTAAAATGTTTTTTAAAAGGTAAATTAAAACTTTTCCCTTTAAAATTCTTTTGAAGACATGATTATTGAAAAATAAAATATTACATAAATTAAAATTGGCACCAGGCCAGTTATTTATATACCAAATCTTAATTGATCCGATATATCAAATAATTTGATTGGGTTATAAACCACATCATGTGATCATGATGCATGTACGGCGACATTGTCCTATTATGTGATTATACAATGGCTGTATAAGTGGATTCTGGTTGGTCATTCAACAAAGGTTTGCTTTCATCTTGGATGTCATATGGGTGGCTATCAGGTGCCTAAGATTATAAAAGAGGAAACAATTATCAATATAGAATACTAAAACACCTCAGCCAGTTTTTGATGCTTTAAATTGACTATTCTTAAAATTCCAATACAGGTGGAAATAGCCTTGTTACTAGGAAAACAATAGAATAAACAGTCAATTTACACATACACTGTAGATTCGAGGCTATTCTGCCTGACTGGGATTTTAAGAATAGTGAATTATCTGCATGTTTTATAACACCATGCCTGCCTTTACAGCTGTAAGAGAATACACTAGGCTTTCCTTTCACTGGGAAACCTTTTTAAAAAAGCCCATTCTCACTAAAAGTATGGCAATACATATTTGCAAGACCTGAAATATGCTTTTCCAAACTTAAAAGTTTCTCAGTAGTAAAATAAACGATAAAGACAGCAAGTGATTTTTACGACGTTTCGAGGTCATACTGTCCTCATTGTCAAGTACTTTTAATGGACAATATGACCTCGAAACGTTGTAAAAATCACTTGCTGTCTTTATCGTTTATTTTACTACTGATTTCAAAACCACTTTTGATTAAAAGTTTCTCTTTTATAAATAAATTCAATTAGTGCTGATTGTTTTATAAAAACCAGATCAAAATGAAAATATGCAAAGTATTGTCATCTTGGCAGTCAAATGATGCAATGATGCAAATGATTTCTTGTTTACCTGTACATGTAATGACGGTTCAGGTTTAGGCATTAATGGTGGTATAATCATAAGTTCATTGTAAAGAGCTGTGCCAAGTAACAGAAACAGAAAGCCATCAACTGAAAAATAAAAAAAAATAATAAAAAACTTTAAGGGTTTAATATTTTACTTTAAGGGTGTTCATGGTTATTAACAAAATAATATGAAAAAGGGATCCCTACCTTGAAAAATACCATATTTTTTGTCCCATGCCTCACCAAATCCCTAAAACAACAACAACAACACTGATTATTATCACAATATTGAACAATAAGGATAAAATATTAATGTTAAAAAAATATCAGTAATAATTATTGTAAGAATACCTCGTGAAAGACATAGTGGACAAACAAGTCCACAGCCCATACAACTATGGTCCTGCAAGCATCTATTAATGTTCTGTGCACCGCTGAAGAGGAAAAAGGAATGAATTAGGATACTAGCTATTAACTGTAGTGTAGTTTTTAAAGTATGCATTTGATGGAATCATTAATTTAATAATGAATCATTTAAAATAAGTTCTGTACAATTTTTATTAATGAATTCATATTCAATAAATAAAAGTACTTTTAAAATATAATCAATTTTTCGCTTTTTCGCTTATTGAATTCAAAAACGGAGCATAATACTCCAATTTCAAGTTTTGGTTTGCTCTGTGTTAGCCTCAAAACCAAGTAACACATTCTTTTGTTCCATTGATAGCTCGAGAAAACGCATGGAATTTTGTGAAGAAAGACAATACATTTGATTTGAAATCTCACACTTTTACGCTCACAATAAGGAATATTTTGCGCACAAATGAGAGCATTGGAACACAGAGCATTGGGGAATTCGAAACTGGAGTATTAGATATGTTCAAATGTACTGTTACCTGTCCTCCTGGAACTAAATAAATATTGTATTTTATCTAAACTAAATAATTGGTGAACAAAAAAAAAAACAAAACAAAAGAGAAACAAACCTGTTAATGACTTGGTGACTGACAACCCGAAAAAATTGTAAAATGATATGGAGCAAATGTATAAAACTAAAAAGAAAAAGAAAATGTATATTCTATATTAATATCATTAACAATTTGAGATTCATATCTTATGCTAATGCTTACGGGACATTATGAGTAGCTTGGTGTCATTCTTGATCATCAAAAGTGCATCAATGCTGTTCTCATAACTGTGATTATTTTGATCTCCTGGGATGTAATACAATACAGGAAGCACTAACTAAAATTAAACAAACAAACAAATAAATAAATTAAACATAAAAAACATAGTGCAATGGATTGCATCATGTGTGCTGAATGTTTCTGCATGGCCATGGAGAGCATGCAGGATTGCTACACAAGCTGGAGCATACCTGTTTGTCAGGGGCATGTGGAGGATTGTTCTAGGTGTTGCAGAACCCTTCTTCCTGATCAGACAAAGTCTTTGAAATATGGGATTTTTTATTTGCCAAATCAAAAGGGTAACACATTTTAATATAGTCCAACAGATTGTCTAACAATACTCCTTTTAAGTTTGCAGTCAATCCCTTTTTTACGAGCTTAAAACCACAAAACAGCCGCTAGAACAGCCAGTATAAAAACCCTGGCCTGCACATGCCCCTGTTTATGCAATGGACATTTTTCATTTTTCATCTTTCACAAAGATTTCCAGAAATTCTTCCTGGACCATGTTACTTAGACTAGTTTTAATACTGCTACTTTAATAAGTCAAAAGAGTGACCATTGAGAACTTACACAGGCCATTAAAATAATTCCAAAGAATCCTTCCATTCCAACTACCTTCAGTAGAAAGAAGAAAATATTATACAAAAAAGTCTATTGAACATAAAGGACTGATTATTTAAGGTCAGTGGCAATACTCCATTTTACAGTTCCAGGCGCCATCTTGAAAGGTAGCCAAGCCTTTGCATCAAAGCGAGGCAGTAGTTGCGCTTGCAATGATAGATACCTGTGAATAATAGCCGACTTGCGAATTACGCATCAATAGTCACATACAAAGGAATCAAGACGAGGCGCCGTGCTAAAGACAATAGATTTTTCACAAAAAAGCATGGCGCCTCAGCTTGATTCCTTTGTATGTGACTATTGATGCGTAATTCGCAAGTCGGCTATTGTCTTAGATGTGAAAAGGTATCTATCATTACAGACTGAACTCCTGTCTCGCTTTCATGCAAAGGCTTGGCTACCTTTCAAGATGGCGCCTGGAACTGTATTAAAATGGAGTATTTGTTTGTTTGATTGCACCTAGCCTCCTCTGTGTGTGTTTCTCTTCCTTTCCACTCTTCTTTCTACTCTTGGGCTTCCTGCCTCCATCAATGTGACCAAGAGAAAGTTGCCATGCTTGGCCTGCAGAGGAGGCTAAATTACCCCACTGCTTAATTGATTGATTGATTGACAAAATTGTTTGATTGGAGCCATTAAATTAACCACAGACCTGTAGTGGATGGTAACCTCTCTTCTTTAGGAATAGTTCTTCCACAATCATTTGAGTGGCACTGACACACTGACCACCCAAAATTAAAGCAATACCTACAACAGAAGGAACAACATCAATAATCCATTAATATCTAATAATAATTCATTAAATTAACTCCACAGCAATTTACCTAAGATAACCTCTCCTTGACTTGAACCCTGATGATTGTCTCTTAATACACTAGACAATCCAACCAGTACCAAACCAAACTGAAAAAAACAAGTAAATAATGTTGATGGTGGAGTGAGTTATTGGTACAATCAACGTCATGTCATGCATATCCAGCCACTGATGCCTGAAGTCCTTGAAACAACTTAATAAATCCTTGATTGCATTTGCTGCACAACTGAACAAATAATTACCATTGTTACAATCATGCCAATCCAATGTATGGGCCACAACTTTCTCTTGAGGAAAATTTTCTACAAAGAAAAGAATATTTATTTTGTGAAGACTACGAAATGTCATGTCATGATTTTCTTTGTCTTGCATTAAAAAAAATAAAAAAAACATTTAGTCTACTTACAGATAGTATTCCAGTAAAAATTATAATTGAACCTCTTAACATTTGCCACACTGATGCATTGACATATAGAAGACCAATTCCTGTCAAACATCAAATTAAACTGAATTTATGGTGTATAGTTTTAATGCAGACCAATTACATTAAATAAATTTAAGTAAAATATAGAACTGAAAACATTGACTATCCATTTAGTTTGTAGCACTGTCTTGCACTTTGATTGGTTCATTGCATGCAGGCTGCAATGCGATTGGTTTAAACTTTCATGGAGTCAAATTGAATTTTTCTATTTTCTTTTTAATGAATACATGTCGGTATATTGGACATGTATGGAGGCAACATTAACTTCTATTGCTTACCTCCTAATGTAGTTCCAAACAAATCACAGACTGTAGGGAATGCAAATATCCATTGAAACACCCTGACATTAAAACAAAGTATTTGTGTTTTAACAAATTAAAAGCAGATTTTGCACAAGTGTACACTTAAAAAACCTTTTTATCATAAAGTAACATTGCTGTACTCTTGTAATCATTTCTCAATTCAATGTTTTATTTTTTTTGGTGTTAATATCAGTAAGGTTTTGTGACCTGCACATGCTGTATATTATAACTTAGCACACCTTGGCTGTTGGGTTAATTCAGAAGATAGTTCACTTCCATCACTTGAACCTCTGTTGATATCCATTAAATTCTGAAAAATTAAAAAATGAATGAAAACTGAAAAGAAAGATGAAATAATAATAATTATAAGTGAATGACTAAATAGATGAATAAATGGATGAAAGAATGGATAAATAAATTTATAGAAAAATGATTCAATAAACAATAGCATCAAATAAATTGTTCTCACTTTTCTGGCATTATTTCTTAATCTTCTTCTGTAAAAGAACAGACCAATTAAGCACATTGTTTCTCCTGTTAAAATAAAATGAAATCAAAAAATTGGACTGGAACAAGGTTCAAGGTAGATTGAGCAGTTAAAGATAAAACTTTTATCTCCGTGCCCAGGTAATATCCTCTATCTTACCAATGAACATGAGACCAGTTTGAAACCAGGGATGATCAAACTTGTGAACCTCATTGCCGTGAGTATCTTTTAGTCCTTTTGATCTGTAATATAATATATATGATAGAATACCCTAAATATGAAAATTTTGAAGTTTTGGGGCAAAAAACGTTTTGGTTTGACCTCCTTCGCAGCCTAATCTTTGGGGAGGGACAGGAAGCCCAGTAAAATGGTAGGCTACAAAAAGGAGACATCCATGCTGGCTTGAGCATCACTTATAATAAAATTAATTAGGTCTGAAATTTAGGTCTGATATTTAGGTCTGTATATTCTCATTTCCTATTTCATCCAATTTCATAATATTGCTAAAATTCGCAAACATTTCTTTGCAAACACCATCACGTGAGGTAAGTTATCCTTAATTCGCGCTACTCCCCTTTCCGGAATTCTCTATGGGACTCACTGTTCGGTGTAAATATCGAAATGCAGTTTGAAGCAGTCGAGAAACAGATCCCAGGACAAGAAGGATCATACTAAAATTAGCAAATCATCGAGTTTGAGCGTATATTCCACAATCAAAGAGCGGCAACTTTTCAAACTCGAAAAAATAACAAAGGATAAGCTTACATGGGGCTTCACAATATTGCACCCAAAAACCACGTATAAAGTACATAAACAACATTATAAATCTATTTTTATTATGTACAAAAATACCAATTTTCTGATATTTTCATTGCGTGCAAAAAGATCTCCCGACTTGTATTTCTTTGAGGGCAGCTAAGAGTCGCTCGTGCTTCCCCCCAAAAAAACATGTGATTTAAGACCAATTCAAATGCTTATAATTTAAAGGATTTGAATACTTACGAACAATCATTTTGTGCTTTCTTTGATAATGTGTTAATCGACCCTGATATAAGCATTCCAAGGGCTAATAAAATCTGAGTACAACTTAGAACAGCCATCATCAAAATATTTGCCTAAAAGTGCGCTTCACGATGTAACCTGGGTACGAAGAACACAGGAAGCCCAAACACAAACACAGTAACGAGGCTGTCAAAATGGCGGGTTTTGTGTATGGGTAAACACTTTCGTATAGTCTTTCTTAGTGTGTTTTAAAGGCTAAATATGAAGGTAAGGCCTAGTTTCATGCAGAAATATTTTCATTATTATTGTAGATCGGTTTTGACACAATTTCAACCGATCCTCGAGTATAAATACCGAAATATATCAAGCGCTGAATTTATACACGTTTCCATAGTGAGTGAGAATGCCGCCATTTTTTCTTTCAAGTAGAATGATAAAAACGTTTCAAATGATGTTATCTATATGTTATGTAGGCTTCTTAGGGCAGTTGAATCGTAGACTATTTCGATCAGAACCTGTTTTCTTTAAGTAACAAACGGTACAAGCTCTCTTCAAATCGATCTGTCATTCAAATGTTGTTATTTAGCATATTAATTAAGCTTATTATTTTTCTTTTTAATACACCAGTCTCGAACCAGTCATTGATTGACCTTACAAAGTGACTGGATTATCAGGTGTCTAAAGCACGTTTTGCATTGTAGTAGGATTATAATTATGCTCTTGAGTTTTGGAAAAATCAAGGCTAAATTTCAGCTTATTATTAAGTTATTATTAAATTGTTATTATTATTATTGTTGTTTGGTTGATTTAGTGCTCCCCTATTTCATTGAAAACTTACTTATTCATAAACACATTTTAAGATGATTTTTGTCTCTCTATTTGTAATGTATATTCCATTTTTAATTTACTCCAGAGAGTATTCAGTATCCCAGAGAAAGTCACTAATGGTACTGGTGTAGGATACTGCTGGCAAAAGTCCCAAGGCAGTTATTTAGCTGTTAGCGGGTAAGATCATTATATAATAGTTGTTCTTTCATGTAATTGTATCACCCTGATTTTTATATCTATGTTAATTGATCCTGTAATCTCATCATCCGCACAGTTTTCATAATTATAATGAAACATAAATAAAAAAAGGAGGCGACATTCAGTCATTATTAAAAATTGCTCAACCCTTTTTGTCCAGGACTGTTGACTATGGAGTTTGTTTGTAGTCTCATAATAGATAGATAGATGTGGCCGACTTTCCAGATTTCGCAGACCAATGATCTGAATTGCATCTGGATTACATTGTGAGGGACGTGGACAGACTGCTATTGAAGGCGCTTTAAGCAGCTGTGCAGTTTACAAACATGATTACGTTAGATTTGTTAGTGTGTTAGTGCACTCAAGGTTATGAGGCCAAAGTACAGACACTAAGGATGGTCGTACCTGCATCCTCAGTGGTTCTTTAACGTCCACTTACAGGGTTAGAGTAGAGTAGACGGGACCTYCRATTTAAYGTCDTTATMCRAGAGGACGTGAAGATCTTACCATTTGCAGATGGAGAAACAAAGGCAGCAACTTCTACTATTTTAAGACCCTGAGTATTGATCTGACCAGGGTTTGAACCCATGACCCTCCCGCATTGTAGTCCGATGCTCAACCAACTGAGCCAATTGGTAAAGCAGTTCAGAGTTTTGATTAACAGGAAAAACATGATCTGTGGAAGTTGCAGCTCACTAAAATAATTATTTACGTCATCAAAGGTTGCTAATATAAATATGATCATTGTAATTTTCTCTCAGGTCATCTAAAAATATTTTAATTTTCGATCGCCATGGTGAACAAGTGGATGAAATTTCTCTTCCTGGGTAAGATGTTTAGATTGTTTTATGCCTTTATTGATTTGTTTTTACTTTTGATGTACAGTAAAAACTAAAMATTAATTTTAGACTAAGAATAGGTGTATTTGCATTTGTAAGCCCAAGGGCAGTCCCAGAGGGGGTGATTAGCGTGGCTATCCAACCCCTTTTTAGGTTTCAAAAATATAAAACAGAAATTTGAACTGATAAATTAAAGAAGACTGTTAATTTGAATGGGACTCATGCCTATTCAAACAGCAAAAGCAGCATACTTCAAAAGCAAAATTCTTCCACAGCCCTAACTGTTATTCCTAAGATTTGATTGTTCGGTCAGTCACACCCCTTTATAACATTCTGAATCTGACACTGCAGGCCCTCATCAGTTACTTTCAGATGTACTGATATCATGGCCAGTTTATCTCAAACTCATTCATATTTTCTTTAGGTTCTGTACTGGGATGGGATGGGATAAAGACGGTGATACACTGGCTATTATCCAAGACAAAAGTGGTACTTCTAGTCAAAGCTTTTTATTGTTTTATGTGCCTTCTTCTAAATAATTAGTCACTTGATCTTTTTGTCTAGGAATTATCTTTTTATGGGATTCCAATTCTTTGAAATTAACACAACTGGAAAGTGGGCTAAGGTAAGCTTGATAAACTGAAAGAATCATTTGACATTTTATGCATTTATTGATTTGTGATTAATTTAATATGTACTGATTAAATCAATACAATATCTCTTTTGCACTACAGGCAATGCACAGTTATAAAATGTAAAATATCTTACTTGCTACCATTAAACATTTCATTGACTTGATCGAAGTTCCATTGATCATTTTATAACTGTGCATTAAATAAAAATAAATAAATATTAAATAAATAAAAATATTAAATATCAATTTTGTGTCTTTACAACCTTTTGTAGGGACACACTAACATTCCTGTTATGGTCAAAAGTAGGCCCTCAATTGGCAATAGGTTTGTATTGTTCTCAAATATTTTAAGTTCTTCATGCATGCATGATTTGTATTTCTAGGCTCTGAACCCGATTTTTTTAATTTCTTGTAGGAACATCCAAGGGAAACCTTTTGATTTATAATCACCAGACATCCAGGCAAGTGAGATCATTCTTTTTTTAAACATACACACACACAAAAAAAACCCAAAAAACAAAATACTGATATTCACTTAGAGCGGATTTCATATGACTGTGCAAAGGCATGGATCACAACATGGGCACGGCACGGCACGGTCATGGAATCTCGCCTGGTAGTGATCCAAATAAAAACAAGGAACCAAGAATACATCACCGTTAATTAAGCCACAGTACAGACACTACACGAAAGTGTGGTGTTTTTTTCACAGTCATACGAAATCCATTCTACAGTAGTCATGTCAGGCAGCAATATATCATTTACTTACTTCTCATTGTAAAATTGGTTCTTATGGAAGATGTTCTTACACATCTTTCTAAGAAATACATGAAACTATCTTTCACTTTTTCCAATATGCAAAGTACTAAATAAAAAAAAATGTTTTGTTTTAATTATAGGAAAATTCCAATTCTTGGCAAACACACCAAGAAAATCATATGTGGATGCTGGAATCAAGAGGTATTCAAAATATCGGAAATAACAATGCAAAACATGTATATGTTTTTTATACCTACAGTGTATGTATGTTACACAGTCTGTCCTCATCAAAGGAAATGTACAGTAGTTACAAGTCCTTAATTTGTGTGTGCTGGAAAGATACAGCTGACTGAGGTTACAAAAAAGATCAAAGTTTAGGGACATGTCCTGGGTCCAGAACCCTAGCCTGCTTACAGGCTACCAGATCCCCTCTTCTTTCTTTCAACACAAGTGGAATAGAAACAATCTGACATGCACAGTATATTGCATCATGCACAAACCTAATATATTTTTGGAAAAAAAATCATCTTTAGAAACTATCTGACTGAAACTGACAGTTCATTTTGTTATTTTTTAAAGAATCTTTTGGCTTTGGGAGCTGAGGATAAATCCATTACTGTAAGCAATGTCGATGGAGACACAGTACGGCAGGTAAATGTAATTATAAATGTAAATATTGATTTTTTTGTTTACTTTCTTATTTAAATATCTATCATGATGATTATAGTAATTTAATTTTTGGATTTGTGTCATCAGGCAACACTCCGCAATGATCCAGCAGATATACGGTTCAGTGAGATGAAGACAGATGAACGAAGTTCAGCAGCTGAAACTACAGTAAGTCAGTGAACAATGAGCAACTTGTGTATGGTCCTTTTCTGACAAAATTATGATGGATTATGGTCTAGCTTCAGTACAAACAATGCTATATTTGTCAGCATGAAGGCAAAATGTCTGAGTGTGCAAATCTAGACCACAATGCAATGCAAACTGCTATATCAGAAAAGGTTTATGCTTTAGCAAGTTACACTTTTGTTGCCACTTTTTTTGGTTCTATTATGATTATGAAATTTTTGTTTGTTTTTATTAGACTAGTCTCTGAAAGGGCCTTTACCAGACTAAGATTTGGTTTACCCTACCATGGATTAAATCTAAAAAATTTTCCCCTTATAAAAACACCGCCCAACAGTAACCTAAAAAAAAACATTTAATTGACTCATGGTTCTTGTTTTGTGTATAGCTGAGCATGATTGTTGGCAAGAAGACATTGTATCTGTATAACTTGAATGATCCTGACAATCCTATCGAACTAGCATTTCAGGTATGATGGTTTCCACACAACAACAAAAAAAAAACAAGGTGTGGTCAATGGGGAGGGGAGAGGTGAGGGGGAATGAATGACTGTCATGTTAATGTCTCTCATGAAATAAGAAAAAGATATGTGATCGCATAAACATCAATTTTAAGAATCATGGCTTGACTTTCCCTTGCTATTCAAGAACCACAAGATTTCACTGCTTGGTCTAGTCTCCTTGCAGCCGTTCTTAGTGGCAGGCTCCCTGTCCCCCGCCAGCCTCAGAATGTTCATCCAATCAAATAATTAAACCTTATTTCTACCTCCATTTTATATTTCTTTAGCCATTTAAATTTAATTTAAAGCTCAAAAGTGTAAATGATGTATTTTTTTATATAGGCACGATATGGCGGTATTATATCATATAGATGGTAAGTTTCTTTTAACAATTCCTCCTAAATTCACTTGAAACAAATGTCCTTTGAATAAACTGCAGCACACGCAGCCAACCAATTTATTTTTACTGTATGTTTAATGTATTTTTATTTATTAAAATAAATGAAGAAAATAAGATAAAAAACAGAAAATAATTGCATAAAATCAATTAATACAAAGGGTAGGCTGACTGTCACCGGTAGTAACTTTTAAAAGTTGCAAAACAAAATGTTACAACAGTGCACTTATGCCACTTTAAGGAATAACTGCTACAGTGAGTTTTAGGTTCAAGGAAGCAGGAGACTGGGCCACTTTGGTCTTTATATGAATATGAAGACCACATGGCACTATGATAAACACGATATAGAAATGAAAGAAAGTTATAGTGCTTAGAAGGAGGCAATTCMGGGAGAAAGACCCTTAGGAATAAATTCGGAAAAATTAATTTCCGACCTCGCTGGTCTCTAGTTCAGTTTGCCCTAATTGCATGTAGCCACATTTTAATTTTCTGTCTATATTTCCCCCTTTTTACCAATGTTGTTGTAATAGGTTTGGTGATGGCTATATACTAATTGGGTTTTCTAATGGATTTGTTGTCGTGATTTCAACTCACATGAAGGAAATTGGCCAGGTAAGGATATATTATTAAATAGAGTTTGAGCTACTCCTTGAAATCTTTGAGAAGTCCTTGAAAAGCCCTTTAAAATAAGAAATACAAAAACTCCTTGGACCTTATGCAATTTGCTTTTTTTAAACTTTTTTATTGAAATAAATGATTTATGAAAAATTAACATCAAGACAATAGCAACACAACTCTCTTTCATTTTTCCCGTTCCCCTCTCCACCCCCTCCCCCTTATTCTTGTATCCGAAATAGGTACAGTAGTTGGGTTTCAAGAATGTCAGGCCCCCTTTCTATATTAATTCCCAGACTACCCCAGAAACACTGAGAGAGAGTTGCCCGCGGAGGAGTTAGAGTTTGGTGGAGAAAATGTCATTGCAATGGCTGGTGTTTTTTTTTTTTTCATTTGAGAAACTTATATGCAACTTATTTTACTATAATTTTATCGACGTCGTCATTGCAGTTGCTATTTTTTCTGTATTGAAACCAATTGAAAAAGAATATAATGATATTACAAATTATTATCATGGATGCACCACCAAAACTCAAAGCACTTGGAACAAGAGAATAGATAATAATTTGAAAAAGAAATCCAAATACTATTCCTGAAGTGCGAACAAGAGATACAATAAAAGCCCTGTCCATTCTCAAAGCCTCATTCATACACTTCTGTGTAATTGTCATCAAAATCCCTACAACTAAGGCATACACATAATCGATGCTTTTGCAAAATGGAAATTGAATCCCTTTATCAAAATGAGCACCGAGAGTGGAGTAAATAATACCTACTATTCCCAAATGGAATATAATCACTCTAGAATTAATCTTGCTTTTACCTAATACCCTTAAAACTACTGTATTACAAGCAGAAGCTACTGTCGATAGCAAAGCAACAAGAGAAGGCACTAGAATATTATTATACTCGGGGACGGTATCTGGGTGTCCGAAGATGAATGTTGGTCGTGCAATCAGAGTAACACCAGCCAAGCACAATACAAGAAGAATCGAATAGATCCAATGCAAACGCTCCTTCAAAAATATCCTTGCCAAAATAGCCACAAATACTGGAGTAGTGAATAAGAGAACAGTTGCATCTCCTAGAGGCATGTTTTGTGATGCATAGAATCGTGTTACCATGCTCGTCGCTCCACCAAATCCTCGCAACACAAGTAATGCAGTAATCTTTGGAGAAAAAATAACATTGTCGTTTGAATAGATAAGAGTTGGAATAGTAACCACAAGTTGAATAGCAAATTGTATTATTCCGATTTCAAAAGCTGGAATAACCAAGCAGAGTTTAACAAACAAATTGCAAGCGACTAGAGTCAATGCTGAAAATACGCAAAGGAAAATGCCGGCAACAGGACGGCACCTTTGTGACAGTTTGATTCTCTGTTGTCCAGTATTTCGGTCAATAACATTTAGTGGTTGTAGAGCTTGGTCTTGCTCCATTGCACATACAAATTCGCGAGAATTTGCTTTACGAATTAAGTGCTTCTGCTAGAAGTCACCTCGTAACGTAAGAAAATGTCGGCTCAAACCAACACGGGTAGCCCAAAACACGTCACATGACGTTCTACGCGCCTCTTTGTTGTAGAGTGGTTTTAATTATATTTCGTGAAGTTCAGCAAAAGAAACAACAAATCAAGCCCCAATTGCAGCAATTGGCAACACTGTATAATACAGGACAAAATTCTTGATACGACTAAAAGCTTGCCAGACGATGACTTGCAATCCTCTTATCTACATTAACGAGACATGTCCATTAACGAAAATCACTTTCGCATATTTCGCAAGTTATTTCACCCGATTGCAGGCGAAGTGAGACAATTTACGGCTCATTAGTCTATGCAAATGAAACGTCGTAAATGTTCACGTATTCAAATGCATGGACCGCTACAGCCCCCCAATAATTTTGACCGACATTTTGAATTTTCTAAAATAAAGATTATGTTAATTAAAACTTTTTAAAACTGAGCGTGAACAATTAAAATTGAAGCTCTTAATTTTTACGAATTCTTTGGGATTTTTATATGTAATAGGACTCCATGCTGTCCAATTAAGAAATAATTGTAATGAAGTTGTCCTTCAGTAGCAAACTTTATATTGCCAGAAATAATTGGACGAGGAAAATTCCGAGGACTGCCAAAAATTGGACGAGGCCGTGGCCGAGTCCAATTTGGCAATCAGAGGAATTTTTCGAGTCTAATTATTTCTTAATTGGACAGCATGGAGTCTTATTACCTATTAATTATATAGCCACATATTGATCCCAAATAGGTAAAAGCTAACCACAGCTTTTAACAAAAACACAATTGAAAACCTGTCCAATTAATTTCTTGATTGGACAGGATTACAAAATTAACGAAAAATCCAGCTTTTACCTATTTGGGATTAATATGTGGCTATATAATTATATTGATAATATCGCTGACCGCTTGTGCGGTAAAAATGTCTTGGATAACGCATGACATTTCCGAGAGAAGGAGCCCAATAGTTAAGATTTCAAAAATTTCCGAASCCCCTAGTACCTCGTCGCCGCTAGCCCCTCCAAACAAATTCACACTCCGTGGTCCCTGAAATGAGTTGTTATTTGTAAGTTACATTTTACATACTTTAGTCAGGAGCAATCCTGCTTTAGTGAAGTGTTGATGACTGACAAAACATTTTCCATAAATAAGTAAATTCTTGGGATTATAAATGCAGAGAATTTTCAAAAGTTTTTGGTGAATCAGACAATCTTTCTTGTGCACAGGTATCCCAAGCTAAGTGTTTCTGTGGTTTTTAGCACATTTTTCGAAATATAAATAAAATTAAAAATATACGTCTGCGCTGGGGAACAGCAGCTATGAATATCGAATAACAATTAGACCTCGAGGTCGAGTGGACTACGAGCTAATAGCCCATGAGGCCGAGAGGTCTAATTGTTTTAGTATAAACATACTAATCGGTCAAATAATGAAAACAAATTGAAATATCCTTAGAATAATTTATAATTTATTTATTTTGATTTTCCCGCGAGTGGTCTATCACAAATTAGACCATTAGTAGAGTAGCCAATCACAGTGCAGTATGAGTGATAGACCATTAGTATGTTCATACTATAGTATAGTATGCCCGCGGGGGACAGGGAGCCCGCCACTAAGAACGGCTGCGAGGAGACTAAAATGCAAGGAGCCCAATGCAATTTGGACCAGCATTTTGAAGGGTGTGAGAATATATTTTATGCAGTAAATCTATGAAAGTATTACTTGACACTGCCATAAGATATTAGTATATGGTTCAAATTAACATTTTATTGAATTTCGATATCGGACAGAAGAGCTCACTTTTCACTCTTTACAATTAGGATCAAACAAGAAATGCTACGCCCCCCTCTTACCCCACTTCCCTGCATGGTCCCAGAGAACTCCTCGCCCCATGTAAGAGAATGTGGAATCCAGAATCCATATCCTGGAATCCGAATCCAGCAATATCTTTAAATCCAAAAACAAAACATTCTTTGGAATCTGGAATCTCAAGAGAATGTGGAATCCAATGTTTCAGAATCCAGAATTCAGTACTTGGAATCCAGAATCCTCTAGTTCTCTGGATTCTCCTACATGGGGCGAAACTCCTCAATGCTGATCTCAATGGCTTATGTTTTTTTCTTGTTTTTTTTTTTTTCATTTGAGAAACTTATATGCAGCTTATTTTACTAATTTCTTGACTTCCTCATTGCCGTTTCTTTTTTTTTGTATTGAAACCAATTAAAAAAGAATATAATGACATTACACATTGTTATCATGGATGCACCACCAAAACTCAAAGCACTTGGAACAAGAGAATAGATAATAATTTGAAAAAGAAATCCAAATACTATTCCTGAACTGCGAGCCAGGGATACAATAAAAGCCCTGTCCATTCTCAAAGCCTCATTCACACACTTTTGACTAATTGTCGTCAAAACCCCTACAACTAAGGCATAAACATAATCGATACTTTTGCAAAATGGAAATTGAATCCCTTTATCAAAATGAGCACCGAGAGTGGAGTAAATAATACCTACTATTCCCAAATAGAATAAAATCACTCTAGAATTTATCTTGCTTTTACCTAATACCCTTAAAACTACAATATTACAAGCAGAAGCTACTGCCGATAGCAAAGCAACAAGAGAAGGCACTAGAATATTATTATACTCGGGGACGGTATCTGGGTGTCCGAAGATGAATGTTGGTCGTGCAATCAGAGTAACACCARCCAAGCACAATACAAGAAGAATCGAATAGATCCAATGCAAACGTTCCTTCAAAAATATCCTTSCCAAAATAGCCACAAATACTGGAGTAGTGAATAAGAGAACAGTTGCATCTCCAAGAGGCATGTTTTGTGATGCATAGAATCGTGTTATCATGCTCGTCGCTCCACCAAATCCTCGTAACACAAGTAGTGTTGTAATCTTTGGAGAAAAAATAACATTGTCGTTTGAATAGATAAGAGTTGGAATTGTAACCACAAGTTGAATAGCAAATCGTATAATTCCAATTTCAAAAACTGGAATAACGAAGCTCAGTTTCGCAAACAAATTGCTAGCGACGAGCATCAATGCTGACATGACGGAAAGAGAAATGCCAGCAACAGGACGGCATCTTTGCGACAGTCTGATTCTCTGTAGCTCAGACTCTCTGTCGATAACATTCAGCGGTTGTAGAGCTTGGTCTTGCTCCATTTCACATACAAATTCACGAAAATTTGCTTTGCGAAAGTGTTCTTCCTCTAGATGAAACCTCGTAACGTAACATTAAACGCCGGGTCAACGCCAACATCGTTACACACTTCACGTGAGCGTCACGTTTACGCTATGAGTTAGTTAACAGGTTTAAGTTTCGTAATCTTGTCAAAAAAACAACAAAATAGTATATCTCGTGTCCTTTAAAGACAAAATGCCTCTTTTACTTAATCGGTAGCACTGTCATTTACACAAAGCATTGTGTGTTTTTTTACTTTCGGGATTTATATCTTGCCGTTTTTAGCTAGCGAGCGCCACAATCCGCCACAGTGCGAGTGCCACTTTCCGCCATTTTGTCAACACATTGAGAACCACAGGAATCCCGAATTCCGCAATCACTAGTTTCCATGCCGCAGGTGGGGGGTGTAGATCAAACGTCAATTTGTGAAAAATGTCCCACTGTTATCATTCAAATCCCCCGGATACTCTTGAAAAACGCACTGCGCATGTCCACAGCTTTCCCGCTGAAGTCTGCCTAATTTCATTTGTAAAGCGATTTTTGTAAAAGTTTTTTACAATTTATAAGCTCGTTCACCGATATATAAGATTCATATTTACGTCAATCATTGTTCATGATAGGTCCTTTTAGTATGTAGTTTCTATTTTTATCTTGTCATTTCTATTTTGAGAAAATGAGGCTTTTTGTAGTGTTTTCTTTGTTGTCGCTGTAAATCGCCAAGCGGCGCTCTGTTTACAGATTTCAAGAAGTGAGCGCTCACTGGCGGGAAAGCTGTGGATATGCGCAGTGCGTTTTTCACCAGTGTCAATTCCCCGTTCCCATGGCGATGGCAGAATTTGGGAATGATATTCCGACAAAAGTGAGACAATTTACGGCTCATTATACAACACATTCCAATGAGTATATATATATACACCTAACCAAAAAAATTCTGCAACTTTTAATATATATATGTCTTTTGTTCTTGAGAGATTAAACAATAGGGAAACAATAGACATATATATATATTGAAAGTTGCAGAATTTTTTTGGTTAGGTGTATATATAGTCGACGCTGTGATCTCTGTAGCAACTATTTTCAGTCTTCTAGAAAATTTAGCAGTTTTGTTACTAAGAGATCTTATCTTATCAGACAGAAATTAAACTGTAAGTCTAAGAATGTTATATATTTAGCTTCTTGTAATAAGTGTAAATTGCAGTATGTAGGCTCCACTAGGAATGAATTTAAAGTTAGGTTTCGCAATCATAAGTCTGCTATGCTTACGAACAAAAAAACTTGCGAGGTAGCCATTCATTTTAATAGTGCACCACATACTTTGAGTGATTTTAGCTTTATAGTATTAGAGTCGTTAATCAATTTAGAAAATATTGAGCGAGATCTTCTTAGTAGAGAAGCGTATTGGTGCCATCAGCTTTTTACATTTCATCCTCATGGCTTAAACAAACGCTTAGAATCGAACTCAAAAAATAGGATTAATTATTCTGCTTAGGCATTTGTCCATTTTTTCAATAGGAATTTTTAGTCTCAATTTATTTGTTTAGTTTAACTTTTACCTAGTATTGTTTTATGTCAGTTGAAAGTTTTTTTAGGGTTATATATCAGTTCTGTGGTTATAGTTTATTTTTCCTCTCTTCACCCTCCTTCCCCCCCTCCTTCCCCCCCTTCCATACCCGGTTAGTTTGTGTTTTTTGTATCTGTGGTACTTTCAGCTGATATAATATAATTGT